GGAGCAATTAGGGTTAAGTGCCTTGCTCAAGGGCACATTTACGTCATTTAGCAGACGCTCTTATCCAGAGCGACTACAAATTGGTGCATTCACCCTATAGCCAGTGGGATAACCACTTTACAATTATACTTTTTTTTTTTTGGGGGGGGGAGGGAGGGGTAGAAGGGTTACTTTATCCTATCCCAGGTGTTCCTTAAAGAGGTGGGGTTTCAAATGTCTCCGGAAGGTGGTGAGTGACTCCGCTGTCCTGGCGTCGTGAGGGAGCTTGTTCCACCATTGGGGTGCCAGAGCAGCGAACAGTTTTGACTGGGCTGAGCGGGAACTATGCTTCCGCAGAGGAAGGGGAGCCAGCAGGCCAGAGGTGGATGAACGCAATGCCCTCGTTTGGGTGTAGGGACTGATCAGAGCCTGAAGGTACGGAGGTGCCGTTCCCCTCACTGCTCCATAGGCAAGCACCATGGTCTTGTAACGGATGCGAGCTTCAACTGGAAGCCAGTGGAGTGTGCGGAGGAGGGGGGTGACGTGAGAGAACTTGGGAAGGTTGAACACCAGACGGGCTGCGGCATTCTGGATGAGTTGTAGGGGTTTAATGGCACAGGCAGGGAGCCCAGCCAACAGCGAGTTGCAGTAATCCAGACGGGAGATGACAAGTGCCTGGATTAGGACCTGTGCCGCTTCCTGTGTAAGGCAGGGTCGTACTCTCCGAATGTTGTAGAGCAAATTCTCCTTGTGCAAAGTGCGCTGAATTGTTGAACGATGCACAGTGACACCATCTGCAGCAAGATTATGTTGTAGGTCTTTGGAGGTGGTCTGTGGGCTGTTTTTGACCGTTCTCAACATCCTTCGCCTTTGCCTCTCCGATATTTTACTTGGCCTGCCACTTCTGGCCTTAACAAGAACTGTGCCTGTGGTCTTCCATTTCCTCACTATGTTCCTCACAGTGGACACTGACAGCTTACATCTCTGCGATATATTTTTGTAGCCTTCCCCTAAAACATAATGTTGAACAATCTTTGTTTTCAGGTAATTTGAGAGTTGTTTTGAGGACCTCATGTTGCCACTCTTCAGAGGAGAGTCAAAGAGAACAACAACTTGCTTTGGCCACCTTAAATACATTTTCTCATGATTGGATGCACTTGTCTATGAAGTTCAAGGCTTAATGAGCTCACCAAACCAATTGTGTGTTCCAATGAATCAGTGCTAAGTAGTTACAGGTATTCAAATCAACAGAATGACAAGGGTGCCCACATTTTTGCATAGCCTGTTTTTCACATCTGATTTAATTTCATACAACTTAATATTGCTACACTAAAAATCTTTGTCTGGACAATACCCCAGTACTCAGCTTTTATTAGAAAATGAATAACATGCCACTGTGATCATTTTCTGTCACGACAGAGTCAATTATTATGCAGCCTCAGAGGGGTGCCCAAACTTTTTCATACGACTGTATGTATGTATGTATGTATGTATGTATGTATGTATGTATGTATGTATGTATGTTTTTTTCTTCAGTTTATTTTAGTAAGTGCTTTCCAATACTTATTTTTCTTAACTGCATTGTTGGTTAAGGGCTTGTAAGTTAGTGAAATGCTAAGGTCTACACCTGTTGTATTTGACACGTGACAAATAACATTTGATTTGATTTGAAATAGGAGAAATGTGGTGGATCCTCTGTTAAATTACAAATTTCTCGAGGTAGGAATATTGCAAAAATATGATCAATGGCTCATTCGAGAGAAGACAACCTCCCGCGTTATGACATCGGCCACTATTTAAATCTGACATGTATGATAGACGCTTTCACGATCTAAAAGCCGTATTTCTATAAACTTCCAGTGTATTGAGAGTGGCTTTATCGCAATGCTACCTCATACCGGATGAATTTCTGCCTGCTTGCACAGCATCAGCTCAGATAAACATGAAATGACCCCGGTAATCGAAATAACATCACTCAGAGCCTCCCGAGTGGCGCAGCGGTCTAAGGCACTGCATTGCAGTGCTTGAGGCGTCACTACAGACCCGGGTTCACGCTGACTTCGGTCGCCAGTTGTACGGTGTTTCCTCCGACACATTGGTGTGGCTGGCTTCCGGGTTAAGCGAGCAGTGTGTCAAGAAGCAGTGGGGCTTGGCAGGGTCGTGTTTCGGAGGACGCATGGCCTACCTTCGCCTCTCCCGAGTCCATATGTGAGTTGGAGCGATGGGACAAGACTGTAACTACCAATTGAATATCACGAAATTGAGGAGAAAAAGGTAAAAAGTACAAAAATAATAATTAGACAATTTAACACGCATCTCTTCCGGTACGGTTTTGGAAACATAAGGAACGTGTTTTTCATATCAGCGTGAAGAAATAATAATAATAAAGTTTAATTACTACACATCTTTATAGGGTTAGGGTTCCCGCAAAGCCATATGTTACAGCGCTTGTTTTACGGAAAACAGACGGAAGACAGAGTGGACTACCTGTGCTAATTAGCTATCTGCATCTCCAAACACCTGTGTGTAAACGGAAGAGGTCAGACGGACACAACAAAACGTGTTGTCTCTGAAAAATACTGTCAGTTGCAACCAATGTTCCCTCTAAGCCGCGCAGAAGAAATATCAGCCCACGCAGAGAAGCACGAGATTGAACTTCACTCAACTTTCTAGTTTTCCCCTTTAGTTAACACTATCAGCGTTTCCCTCTACTGTGGGAATTGCCAATATTAGCCACTTTCAATGCAACATACCGAAACCAAAACGAACTATGCAAGATTTAAGTATGCAAAACTAACTATGAAAGATATTTTCTTGTAGGCGGAACACACCGGAGTAGGATTCTATTGCATTGACAGGCACAACTCAGGCACATACTCTACAGACCGGTGCGGCATAACCAATCAGAGCTGCAGTATCCCTATATGCAAATAGACCATTGCCATATATGGATCTGTGCCATTCACTTTGAACTGGATTGTGTTTACAGCATGAGTGGTTGCGAGTATATGCGCTTGTTTTGAGATCAAAGTGAGAGCTGCATGTAGCCAAGTGTGCACATTTTGTTCATATTCTTTGCTAGTAAGTGAGTTATTAGCCCAGTTATAGCCTATTTTTAGTCAGCAATGGGGGAGTGGTTGCTTCCTACAAGCCATCTTTGAAAACCAAGTCAGGTTTAGAGCCTTTTTTCTGTCTTAAAGGGGGAATGTTGTATTTTGAGACAGGCTTGAATAAGCTAAGTAGGCAGAGGGTAGCATAATTTGTCTGATTCTCTGTTCTAATGGTATGGGATGAATAATTTACTAAATAAAGTTAAGTGGTTTCTTGCATCGAACAGCGCATTTTCAGTCACATCCTTGTCTGAATGACAAGTGGATAAACAGGTTAATGTCAAGCCCTGCATATTTCTTTCAAAAGTCTCATGGAATGTAGGCCTACATTGAACACCACACATTGGCTGCTACTGTAGGCTGAATGATATAACAGCTATTTCCATATTAAAATGTTATGGGATGCATTTTCTCCATTGTTTTTTATGGTAGGCCACTCTGATAGGCCTACATTATGATCAAATAGCCACAGTAGCCTACTTGGCCACTGTTATAACTGTACCTTAAAGCGGGTACAGCCTCAGTGTTTACAGAAAACACGTGCCAGAAGTTGCACTGAATTTTCACAACGTTCAAGTTTGCACTCAGCAGACCTGACATTTGCTCAGTGCCTACTTTTTTTTCCCAGATGGAACATTGGTTGTTACTGTGTTTAAAACCGGTTAAAACGGTGTACAGTAAGTGTGTATTTTTTGCATTTGTGAAATAATTTTGATTTGATATGAGGGTAGAGGGATTTATGTTTCTAGAACGGTATCGCAGTTGAGAATCGATTCACGTTTAGATGGAATATTTGGCTGTTTTGGCTTCCAGAGCCAATTCGTCTTTAAACAGAACATTTAAGGTCCTTGGACTATATTGAGCAATGTTAGGCTCCTTTAGTCCATTATTAGGCCAACAGTACTGTAACCTACTGCCGCCACCCTTACAGAAAAAGATTGCAGTTTTGAAGCGGCAGTAAATGCTATCGACTATGGTATTCTGGACGCAGTAATTGCAGAATGAATCATCATTACATGTAACTGCAGTTACACTGTAACATTTCTGCAGAAAAAAAAAACTTATTTTGGACGCAGTATTTTCAGCATACTGCAGTTATACTGCACTCTGCCTGCAGTCTTTTTTCGTAAGGGCAGACTTTGGATTACACCCAATGATGGTTATATGATGTCGGCCCTGTGTAGCTCAGTTGGTAGGACATGGTGCTTGCAACGCCAGGGTTGTGGATTCGATTCCCACGGGGGGCCAGTATGAAAAATGTATGCACTCACTAACTGTAAGTCGCTCTGGATAAAAGCGTCTGCTAAATGACTAAAATGTCAATGTAAATGTAAGTGTACAAAACATTTGGATCACCTGTTCTTTCCATGACATAGACTGACCAGGTGAAAGCTATGATCCTTTATTGATGTCACCTGTTAAATCCACTTCAGTCAGTATAAAGGAAGGGGAGGAGACAGGTTAAATAAATATTTTTAAGCCTTGAGGCAATTGAGACATGGATTTTGTATGTGTGCCATTCAGAGGGTGAATGGGCAAGACAAAAGATTGAAGTGCCTTTTGAACGGGGTATGGTAGTAGGTGCCAGCCGCACCGGTTTGAGTGTGTCAAGAACTGCAATGCTGCTGGGTTTTTCACTCTCAACAGTTTCCCGTGTGTGTCAAGAAAGGTCAACCACCCAAGGACATCCAGCCAACTTGACACAACTGTGGGAAGCATTGGAGTCAAAATGTGCCATTATCCCATTGGAACGCTTTCGACACCTTTTAGTCCATGCCCCGATGAATTGAGGGCAAAAGGGGGTGCAACTCAATATTAGGAAGGTGTTCCTAATGTTTTGTACACTCAGTGTATATAAATCATTGGTATATATACACATTGATTACACCCCATCCCCCTCTCTCTCCAAAGGTTTACGAGCTATGTGATACGGACAAGAAAGGCTACCTGAACAGAGAAGACCTAAAAATGGCGGTGGTCATGCTGTTTGGATATAAACCATCAAAGGTAGTAGAAACTAGGTGGTATCATAGACTTAGATAGACATCGCATCATTGTATCTGTTCCATTATGGCATCTGAGAGCATGGGAGGTCCATTGAGGCCATCTCCATTTTGAAGTAGTCTATTTTCATATTCTACCACTTCTATGAGCTGGCAAAGAAACTGAAAGTGTGCACATTTTGTTCACAAACGGAAAAAAAGAAATTGCACCACCATCTAACCCTAGATATACACCACTATCCCCAACAAACTCACCACTTCTACCCACTACTTTGGCCCCAACAGATCCTACACCAGGCCATCGGCCTGGGAGTCTGGAACCCCTTCTCTCAAACCCCCTATTGTTCTTCTGCACTAAAATCTCTGACACCCCTAAACTTCTCTGCTGCTGCTACTACCAGACCAATCTTCTGGGATTTCCTTTCCATCTGTGCGGTACAATTAATGACCATAGCAATAAACTGCCAAGAAGCCAACCTTACTAAAGCACAAACTGTTCTAGTCACTCTGTACTGGCCTACTACTCACAGGGATCCTCTCAGGCTCTCTCACCCTTTGCCCACCATCCTCTGCTTTCCTCACTGCCTCAGCATATGACACTTTCTGCACTGCTACAACCCTGGTAACCTCAAGCTGTCTCACTCGCACAGGACATTTCTGATCCCCAGCAACATGGTCACCCCCACAATTAAAACACACTTTTACCACAGAAACTACACACTCCTTTGTCCCATGCCCTCCAGCACACTTCTCAATCCTCAGAATCTTTCTCCTACATACTGGTGCAACATGACCATAAGCTTGGCACCTGAAACACCGTAGTGGGTTCGGAACAAAAGCTCTTACAGGATACCTGACATATCCTAGTATGATTTTATCAGGTAAACATCAAAACTCAAAAGGATAGACAGTCTTGCGCTCGCCACCGGGTCTGCGTCAAACCAAACGTATGGGTGGTCCTCTTGTAGCTCAATTGGTAGAGCATGGCGCTTGTAACGCCAGGGTAGTGGGTTCGATCCCCGGGACCACCCATACGTAAAAATGTATGCACACATGACTGTAAGTCGCTTTGGATAAAAGCGTCTGCTAAATGGCTTATTATTATTATTATTATTATTAGCAGAAAAACAACTTAAAGCATAATGTTTCCACCTCCATGTTTGACGGTGGGGATGGTGTTCTTGGGGTCATAGGCAGCATTCCTCCTCCTCCAAACACGGCGAGTTGAGTTGATGCCAAAGAGCTCGATTTTGGTCTCATCTGACCACAACACTTTCACCCAGTTCTCCTCTGAATCATTCAGATGTTCATTGGCAAACTTCAGATCTGCCTGTATATGTGCTTTCTTGAGCAGGGGGACCTTGCGGGCGCTGCAGGATTTCAGTCCTTCACGGCGTAGTGTGTTACCAATTGTTTTCTTGGTGACTATGGTCCCAGCTCCCTTGAGATCATTGACAAGATCCTCCCGTGTAGTTCTGGGCTGATTCCTCACCGTTCTCATGATCATTGCAACTCCACGAGGTGAGATCTTGCATGGAGCCCCAGGCCGAGGGAGATTGACAGTTCTTTTGTGTTTCTTCCATTTGCGAATAATCGCACCAACTGTTGTCACCTTCTCACCAAGCTGCTTGGCGATGGTCTTGTAGCCCATTCCAGCCTTGTGTAGGTCTACAATCTTGTCCCTGACATCCTTGGAGAGCTCTTTGGTCTTGGCCATGGTGGAGAGTTTGGAATCTGATTGATTGATTGCTTCTGAGGACAGGTGTCTTTTATACAGGTAACAAGCTAAGATTAGGAACACTCCCTTTAAGAGTGTGCTCCTAATCTCAGCTCGTTACCTGTATAAAAGACACCTGGGAGTCATAAATCTTTCTGATTGAGAGGGGGTCAAATACTTATTTCCCTCATTAAAATGCAAATCAATTTATAACATTTTTGACATGCGTTTTTCTGGATTTCTTTGTTATTCTGTCTCTCACTGTTCAAATAAACCTACCATTAAAATTATAGACTGATCATTTCTTTGTCAGTGGGCAAACTTACAAAATCAGCAGGGGATCAAATACTTTTTTACCTCATCGTATGTGGTTTTATATTGTAAAGACTTTAACCAACTTGTTAACACATTCTCATTTTAGATAGCAAGTCAGCCAGTTTTTAAATAAGATATGAACAACAACATAAGTATGTGGCTAGCTAGAACTCATAGGACGGTAAGAACCCGTTAGTTAGAGGCCGTTTGGTGTGTTTTATATTAGATTTTTACTTAACATTGCCAGCCAGTACTTTTAGAAAATAAAAATGAAAAAATTGTTTGTAGACCGTCAATGTATTGAAAGTGAAACAGCTGGTGGGAGTTGTAGTTCATGTGTGTAATTCTAATGAACAGTGGTAACTTTTTGGCTTCGTGCTTCTTGTCCATCAAATATGTTGAAAACCGGCGTATGGTAAGTTAATTCACTCTGAAACATATATATATCTTATGACTGCGTTTTCATGAATTTGACAATGCAAATTTTAAGCCCATTCTTAGCCTACAAAACGAGACAACAGGAAGTACCACTTTCCTACTGTATAGACCCAATGTACAGTAGTGCTAGCGCTGGTCCATCGCGCGAAGACAATGAGTTGCCTCGTGTCACGCAATGGACGAGACCTACAGTTTTGTGGTTGTATCCAGCCTTGTTGAATTTGAGGAACAGTGAAGCAATGATCATTTCATTCCACAAGATGGCGCCGTTGTACTTAGTTTGATCTTAAAAGTATTCTCAAACCTTTCTTTGTGACCTAGCTAATTTGCATAATAATCACCTCACAAAAACGACATTGATAAATATCAAATGTGATCTATTAATAATTTTTCTATCACTCAAATTCAAATATATTACATTTCCTCAGTCATCCATCAAGCCAGTCTTTCATTTCCTTGTGCTTTTATGTTGCAGTCTGAAACCAACATGTTAATGGATCAAGCCCAGGCAAAATATTCACCAGGTAAGTCAACAATGCTGTTGTGACAGAATTAGTACATATTATTGCGTCTGTCTGTCTGTGTCAAACGAGCACTCAGAAATGAGAAAACATGTACACCATCCGCACTTTTAGCTCATACTGTATATTCTTGATGTGTCGATTTATGTAAATATGATGGTGAGTCAATCTTCCCACATCCAGTCGTGCTGAATGGGAGCACTCCAATATATGTGTGTGTTTTAATGAACAAGTGGAAGATATAGCCACAGGACATAGCCTCTGAACAGCCATCGCAGACTGTATTTAATTTGAGATGAGTTGCTCAACCTCTCTCACTCACACACACACACACATACACACACACACACACACACACACACACACACACACATACACGGGTGCCTGCCTGCAGCTATCCTCTGACAGCCTCAATGACGTTTTTAGATTAATTTCTAGCGCGCCCGCAGTTTAGACGTCATTACAGTTTCATACGCTGTTCATCACAGCACCACTTATGGCCACGACAGGCAGCCCTCCAACTGAGACGCGAAGTAAGGGGACCCATGCTGATGTGTAAGCACACATCCACTCACAGCAAAACATCCACCGTGCAGCATTTAGCCGCAATCTCCATTTAAAATGGGGCGGTGGAAGACAAAACCAAACAAAGCAACCTAGTCAGTGTATCGTTCCAATCCATCCTGGTGAAATGGAAAGAAACGAGATAAAACAAGAGGGGACGCTTGATTTAGACTGGGTGTAATCGTTTTACACATTTCCAGTAATTAAAAGAATGCCTCACAAAAGGCTTGCGGTGCGGTGTAATTGTTAGTGTGACGACAAGCGGCCAACGCTTTAACTGGGGGCTTCTTGACAGGCAGACAGGAGAGGGGGAAAGAGAGAGGGGAGATGAGAAGAACGTGGCTGGCTAGACAGATACGAGGCTATTGAAGGAAGATGTTAAACGGTTAAAGATTAGGAAGTAATTCGTCTCTTTTGTTTTTAAAGCCAGGAGCAACATTTTTAATCTGTACATTGCCCAGTAAGAGAGAGACAGAGGGAGGGGATTGAGGGAGAGGGGGGGTGAAGGGAAAGAGGGAGGGAAGAGAGAGAGAATTGTGTTAGTAGCATGGTTGATGCAATTACATATTTCACCATCCATTAAATGTGTCTGGGAGAGAGAATGCGGGATAAGAGAGGAATAGAGAGAGAGAGGGAGAGCAGTGAATTTAACTGCTCTTCTGGATGTGGTGTGATTTAGTAAATTGGTGGTGATGGTGGGAAGAGACAGAGTGGGTGGCTAACTAGAGAGAGAGAGATGGAGAATATGTGTGTGGCTGGCTAAGAGTGAATGGGGCCAGGCAGTGTGGGTGTGGGCTTGGCTAGACTGTGTCTCTCTGTAACTGGCTCATTTCAGCACAGCCCCTCATAGGGGTTACCCAGAGGCCTTTGGTAAGAGACCTTCTACCATTGTCTACTACCATAGCGAGTCGATTCCGCCTGCACTGATCTTAGGTTGCATGCTCGTGTGCTACCACACGAAAAGAAGGCACATAGTGGAACCGATCAACTATAGGCTACTAGCACTATGCAATGGGAAACTGGCTGGCTGGCTAGCTAGCTAGCTAGCTAGCTAGCTAGTAACACAGGCTAACTGGATAAACAGCAGTTAGCTTTAGAATGTTAACGTTAGCTCTGTTTTTAAATCGCAATTTGCAGTTTACAGCTAACAAGCTACATCTATTGACCTAGCTAGCTAAGAAACTGTTTAGCTAAAGGTTTATGAGCGGCCAACAATCTTAACTTTTAACTGTTTTTGTTTTTACGGTAAACTTAAATGTTCTATGTTTACCATTACTAACCGTCATTTTCTGCTGATGATGCCATTGTCTTACCCGACTACTTTCGAGCTATTACCCTTTGCGAGATAAGAGCGTCATCTAATGCCTGAGATCGCTTATCTACTAAGGGAGTCCTGCTCTAGCCTATGACAATGTCGTCTTATGCTTTGTTTTGTTATGTGTTATATGTGTAACCCAAGTATGCCTAGTAGGCTAGGTCTACTGTGTAGCCATTTATTTAAGAGGAACACAATGGAAATACGTTTTCAAACTTTCGTGTCATCCTCTGAGTGGTTGTATTGTTTGAAATTGTCAATTAAAAATATCTATCCCTATAGGAAATGTTATCCTCCACCTCCCCCTCTCTCTCTCTCACCCCTAACCAGTAACTGCTGTGTGTTCTAAGTGAAGCGGACATGAGTCAGGCTCATGGTCTTGTGATGAGGTAGCCCTGCCTGCAACTTCAAAATCAGTGTCCCCCTCAGCACAAAATAATTCCCTCTTGGTCTAATGGTCAAGAAGTTGGTCTGTGGGAGACCAGGGTGCGTGCGTGCGTGAAGTACTCATCTCAATTAGCTAGGCGCGGTTGCCGGGAACGCTTGCCATGTGGTGAGTCATAGTCACAGATCTTTGGTAGGGGCCACCGTGCGGCTGACAGAATTAGATTAAATAAACACACACACCCTCCCTACTCCAAACACACCTCCATTCTTCCCTCCCTGTGAAAGCTTGGCACTGCTCTTTTTCAGTTCTCTCTCTCTCCATCTTTCTCTCTCTACTCTCTCTACGCTCTCTCTCTCGCTACGCTCTCATCTCCCCAGCTCGGGCTCTTTTTCTCCACCTTCATTTGAAGCCCTGAGAGAGACTTGTGCTGAAGAAGCCCCCACACAGCACGCTTCCTTTCATTCACTGCCAGACACTCTGCCTGGCATGTGTGTGCCTGTATGTGTGTGTGCGTGCATTTGTGAGGTGATATGTTTGCTATTGTGAGGTGATATGTTTGCCCCCCCCCTCTATCTCTCTCTAGGGGTGTGTATAGAGATGTTTGTGTCTCTCATGGAGAGGAAGTTGTCATCAGATGACCAGTACCAGAAGACCAGACAGATCTTCAACGCCTTTGATGTGAACTGTATGTACTGTACACCCCCCTCCATCTCTCTCTGTCTTTCGTTCTCTGTCCCTCCATCTATCCATCTTTATCTCTTATCTCCACCCCCTTCTCTCTATCCCCTTTTCTTTCTCTCTGTTGCCCATACTCATTGTCTTTTCTTTCGCCAGAAGAGGGTGCACTAAGCCTTGACGCACACACACGTATTTGATCCCCTGCTGATTTTGTACGTTTGCCCACTGACAAAGACATGATCAGTCTATAATTTTAATGGTAGGTTTATTTGAACAGTGAGAGACAGAATAACAACAACAAAATCCAGAAAAACGCATGTCAAAAATGTTATGAATTGATTTGCATTTTAATGAGGGAAATATGTATTTGACCCCTCTGCAAAACATGACTTAGTACTTGGTGGCAAAACCCTTGTTGGCAATCACAGAGGTCAGATGTTTCTTGTAGTTGGCCACCAGGTTTGCACACATCTCAGGAGGGATTTTGTCCCACTCCTCTTTGCAGATCTTCTCCAAGTCATTAACGTTTCAAGGCTGACGTTTGGCAACTCGAACCTTCTGCTCCCTCCACAGATTTTCTATGGGATTAAGGTCTGGAGACTGGCTAGGCCACTCCAGGACCTTAATGTGTTTCTTCTTGAGGCACTCCTTTGTTGCCTTGGCCGTGTGTTTTCGGTCATTGTCATGCTGGAATACCCATCCACGACCCATTTTCAATGCCCTGGCTGAGGGAAGGAGGTTCTCACCCAAGATTTGATGGTACATGGCCCCGTCCATCGTCCCTTTGATGCAGTGAAGTTGTCCTGTCCCCTTAGCAGAAAAACACCCCCAAAGCATAATGTTTCCACCTCCATGTTTGACGGTGGGGATGGTGTTCTTGGGGTCATAGGCAGCATTCCTCCTCCTCCAAACACGGCGAGTTGAGTTGATGCCAAAGAGCTCGATTTTGGTCTCATCTGACCACAACACTTTCACCCAGTTCTCCTCTGAATCATTTAGATGTTCATTGGCAAACTTCAGACCGGCCTGTATATGTGCTTTCTTGAGCAGGGGGACCTTGTGGGCGCTGCAGGATTTCAGTCCTTCACGGCGTAGTGTGTTACCAATTGTTTTCTTGGTGACTATGGTTCCAGCTGCCTTGAGATCATTGACAAGATCCTCCCGTGTAGTTCTGGGCTGATTCCTCACCGTTCTCATGATCATTGCAACTCCACGAGGTGAGATCTTGCATGGAGCCCCAGGCCGAGGGAGATTGACAGTTATTTTGTGTTTCTTCCATTTGCGAATAATCGCGCCAACTGTTGTGACCTTTTCACCAAGCTGCTTGGCGATGGTCTTGTAGCCCATTCCAGCCTTGTGTAGGTCTACAATCTTGTCCCTGACATCCTTGGAGAGCTCTTTGGTCTTGGCCATGTTGGAGAGTTTGGAATCTGATTGATTGATTGCTTCTGTGGACAGGTGTCTTTTATACAGGTAACAAGCTGAGATTAGGAGCATTCCCTTTGAGTGTGCTCCTAATCTCAGTTCGTTACCTGTATAAAAGACACCTGGGAGCCAGAAATATTTCTCATTGAGAGGGGGTCAAATACTTATTTCCCTCATTAAAATGCAAATCAATTTATAACATTTTTTACATTCGTTTTTCTGGATTTTTGTTGTTGTTATTCTGTCTCTCACTGTTCAAATAAACCTACCATTAAAATTATAGACTGATCATGTCTTTGTCAGTGGGCAAACGTACAAAATAAGCAGGGGATCAAATACTTTGTTCCCTCACTGTACATACATACATACATACATACATACATACAGTGCGGGAAAAAAGTATTTAGTCAGCCACCAATTGTGCAAGTTCTCCCACTTAAAAAGATGAGAGAGGCCTGTAATTTTCATCATAGGTACACGTCAACTATGACAGACAAAATGAGAAAAAATAATCCAGAAAATCACATTGTAGGATTTTTAATGAATTTATTTGCAAATTATGGTGGAAAATAAGTATTTGGTCAATAACAAAAGTTTCTCAAAACTTTGTTATATACCCTTTGTTGGCAATGGCACAGGTCAAACGTTTTCTGTAAGTCTTCACAAGGTTTTCACACACTGTTGCTGGTATTTTGGCCCATTCCTCCATGCAGATCTCCTCTAGAGCAGTGATGTTTTGGGGCTGTCGCTGGGCAACACGGACTTTCAACTCCCTCCAAAGATTTTCTATGGGGATGAGATTTGGAGACTGGCTAGGCCACTCCAGGACTTTGAAATACTTATTACGAAGCCACTCCTTCGTTGCCTGGGAGGTGTGTTTGGGATCATTGTCATGCTGAAAGACCCAGCCACGTTTCATCTTCAATGCCCTTGCTGATGGAAGGAGGTTTTCACTCATAATCTCATGATACATGGCCCCATTCATTCTTTCCTATACACGGATCAGTCGTCCTGGTCCCTTTGCAGAAAAACAGCCCCAAAGCATGATGTTTCCACCCCCATGCTTCACAGTAGGTATGGTGTTCTTTGGATGCAACTCAGCATTCTTTGTCCTCCAAACACGACGAGTTGAGTTTTTACCAAAAAGTTATATTTTGGTTTCATCGGACCATATGACATTCTCCCAATCCTCTTCTGGATCATCCAAATGCACTCTAGAAAACTTCAGATGGGCCTGGACATGTACTGGCTTAAGCAGGGGGACACGTCTGGCACTGCAGGATTTGAGTCCCTGGCGGCGTAGTGTGTTACTGATGGTAGGCTTTGTTACTTTGGTCCCAGCTCTCTGCAGGTCATTCACTAGGTCCCCCCGTGTGGTTCTGGGATTTTTGCTCACCGTTCTTGTGATCCTTTTGACCCCACGGGGTAAGATCTTGCGTGGAGCCCCAGATCGAGGGAGATTATCAGTGGTCTTGTATGTCTTCCATTTCCTAATAATTGCTCCCACAGGTGATTTCTTCAAACCAAGCTGCTTACCTATTGCAGATTCAGTCTTCCCAGCCTGGTGCAGGTCTACAATTTTGTTTCTGATGTCCTTTGACAGCTCTTTGGTCTTGGCCATAGTGGAGTTTGGAGTGTGACTGTTTGAGGTTGTGGACAGGTGTCTTTTATACTGATAACAAGTTCAAACAGGTGCCATTAACACAGATAACGAGTGGAGGACAGAGGAGCCTCTTAAAGAAGAAGTTACAGGTCTGTGAGAGCCAGAAATCTTGCTTTTTTGTAGGTGACCAAATACTTATTTCCACCATAATTTGCAAATAAATTCATTAAAAATCCTACAATGTGATTTTCTAGAGAAAAGAAATCTCAATTTGTCTCTCATAGTTGACATGTACCTATGATGAAAATTACAGGCCTCTCTCATATTTTTAAGTGGGAGAACTTGCACAATTGGTGGCTGACTAAATACTTTCTTTCCCCACTGTACGTACATACATACATACATACATACATACATACATACATACATACATACATACATACAGTGCTTTCGGAATTATTCAGGCCCTTTGACTTTTTCCACATTTTGTTACGTTACAGCCTTATTCTAAAATGGATTAAATAAATAAAAATCCTCAGCAATCTACACACAATACCCCAAAATGACTAAGCGAAAATAGGTTTTTAGAAATCTTTGCAAATATAAAAAAAAAAAAAACTGAAATACCTTATTTACGTAAGTATTCAGACCCTTTGCTATGAGACTCGAAATTGCGCTCCATTGATCATCCTTGAGATGTTTCTACAACTTGATTGGAGTCCACCTGTGGTAAATTCAATTGATTGGACATGATTTGGAAAGGTACACACCTGTCTATATAAGGTCCCACAGTTGACAGTGCCTGGCAGAGCAAAAACCAAGCCATGACGTCGAAGGAATTGTCCATAGAGCTCCGAGACAGGATTGTGTCTAGGCACTGATCTGGGGAAGGGTACCAAAACATTTCTGCAGCATTGAAGGTCCCCAAGGACACAGTGGCCTCCAACGTTCTTAAATAGAAGAAGTTTGGAACCACCAAGACTCTTCCTAGAGCTGGCCGCCCGCCAAACTGAGCAATCGGGGGAGAAGGGCCTTGGTCAGGGAGGTTCTTGGTCACTCTGACAGAGCTCTAGAGTTACTCTGTGGAGATGTGAGAACCTTTCCGAAGGACAACCATCTCTGTAGCACTCCACCAATCAGGCCTTTATGGTAGAGTGGCCAGCCAGAAGCCACTCCTCAGATGACAGTCTGCTTGGAGTTTGCCAAAAGGCCCCTAAAGACTCTCAGACCATGAGAAAAAAGATTATCTGGTCTGATGAAACCAAGTTTGAACTCTTTTGCCTGAATACCAAGCGTCACGTCTGGAGGAAACCTGGCACCATCCCAACAGTGAACCATGGTGATGTTTTTCAGCGGCATGGACTGGGAGACTGAACGGAGCAAAGTACAGTGAGATCCTTGATGAAAACCTGCTCCAGACCATTCAGGACCTCAGACTGGGGCAAATGTTCACCTTGCAACAGGACAACAACCCTAAGCACACAGCCAAGACAATGCAGGAGTGGCTTCAGGACAAGTCTCTGAATGTCCTTGAGTGGCCCAGCCAGAGCCCGGACTTGAACCCGATCGAACATCTCTGGAGAGACCTGAAAATAGCTGTGCAGCAATGCTCCCCCTCCAACCTGACAAAGCTTGAGAGGATCTGCAGAGAAGAATGGGAGAAACTCCCCAAATACAGGAGTGCCAAGCTTGTAGCGTCATACCCAAGAAGATTCGAGGCTGTAATCGTTGCCTAAGGTGCTTCAACAAAGTACTGAGTAAAGGGTCTGAATACTAATGTAAATGTGACATTTCCGGGTTAAAAAAAAAATGGATTTGCTATAAAATCTAAAAACCTGTTTTTGCTTCGTCATTATGGGGTATTGTGTGTAGATTGTTTTTTCATCAATGTAATCAATTTTAGAATAAGGCTGTAACGTAACAAAATTTGGAAAAGGTCAAGGGTTCTAAATACTTTCCGAATGCACTGTACACACAC